CTAAAACGCAAAAATACGAGTACGATCATGGAGAAGTGATGACTATTGTTCCTTAGGTCATTTTTTATGCTTCGATAAAATCTTAGGCGATCCGGGTCCATTGGCCTGGGCCCATGTAGAAGGCATGGGCTATAGCACACCAAAATCTGGAAATCCGGCAGAATTCCAGTTTTACGACCCTAAAATGCCAAAAACGAGTAATGGTCATGGAGGGGCGGTGATTATTGTTCCTTAGGTCATATTTGATGGTCTGGTATAATTTTAGGCGATCCAGGTCCGGTGACCCGGGCCTATGCAGAAGGCTTGGGCTATAGCACACGAAAATCTGGAAATCGGAAAGAATTTCAGTTTTACTGCTCTAAAAGCCAAAAAATGAGTAACGATCATGGTGAGGCAATGACTATTGTTTCTTAGGTTATTTTTGATGGTCTGTTAAAATCTTAGGCGATCGGATCTGAACCCATGAAGAAGGCATGGGCAATAGCACCCGAAAATCTGGGAATCTGGTTGAATTCCAGTTTTATGGCTCTAAAATGCTGAAAATGAGGATTGGTCATGGCGAAGAGGTGACTATGGTTCCTTAGGTCGTTTTTATGGCCCGGATGCATACAGAGCGCATAGGGCATAACACACGAAAATCTAGGAATTGGGTAGAATTCCAATTTTATGGCCTTAAAACACCATAGAATAAGAAACGGTCATGGCGAAGCAATGAATTTTGTTCCTCATGTCGGTTTTGAAGGCCCGGCAAAATTTTAGGTGGTTCGAGTCCGGTCGCCCGTATGCATGCAGATGGCGTGGGTAATAGCACATGAATGTCAATAATCGGGCGGAATTCTAATTTTATGGCCCTAAAATGCCAAAAAATGAGGAACGATCATGGCGAAGTAATGACTATTATTCTTTAGGTCTTTTTTGAAGGCCTGAAAAAAATTTAGGCGGTTCTGGTACAGTTGCCCGGATGCATGCAATTGGCGTGGGCTATAGCACACGAAAATCAGATAATCATGCGAAATTCCAATTTTATGGCCCTATACCGCCAAAAAAAGAGGAACGGTCATTATGAAGCGTGACTATTGTTCCTTAGGTTGTATTTGAAGGCCCGGCAAAATTTTAAGCGGTTCAGGTCCGATCGCCCTAATGCATGGCCCATAAAAATTGGGGAATCAGGCGAAATTCTGGTTTTATGGCCCTGAAATGCCAAAAAATAAGGAACGGATAGAAAAGAGATGATTAGTGTTCCTTAGGTCTTTTTGAAGGTCTGGAAAAATTTTAGGCGGTTCGGGTCCGATTTCCTAGATGCATGCAAATGGCGTGGGCTATAACACACAAAATTCTAGTAATCGGGCGGAATTCCAGTTTATAGCCCTAAAACGCCAAAATACGAGTATGATCATGGAGAAGTGATGACTATTATTCCTTAGGTAATTTATGCTTCGGTAAAATCTTATGCGATCTGAGTCTAGTGGCTTGGGCTATAGCATACGAAAATCTAGAAATTCGACAGAATTCCAGTTTTACGGCCCTAAAACGCTAAAAAATGAGTAATGGTCATGGAGGCACGGTGACTATTGTTCCTTAGGTCGTATTTGATAGTTTGGTAAAATTTTAGGCGATCCAGGTCCGGTGGCCCGGGCCCATGCAAAAGGCATGGGCTATAGCACACGAAAATCTAGAAATCTGACGGAATTCCAATTTTATTGCCCTAAAACGCCAAAAAATGAGTCTGGAGAGGCAATGACTATTGTTCCTTAGGTCGTTTTTGATGGTCTGTTAAAATCTTAGGCGATCGGACCTGGACCCATGCAGAAGGCGTAGGCTATAGCGCCTGAAAATCTGCGGATCTAGCGGAACTCCAGTTTTATGGCCTTAAAATGCTGAAAAACGAGGATTGGTCATGGAGAAGAGGTGACTATGGTTCCTTAGGTCATTTTTTATGGTCCGGCAAAATATTATGCGATCTGGGTCCAGTGGCCCACGAAAATTTGGGAATAGGGCGGAATTCCAGTTTTATGATCCTAAAATGCCAAAAAATGAGTAACGGTCATGTCAAGGTAGTGACTATTTTTCATTAGGTCGTTTCTGATATTTTGGTAAAATTTTAGGCTATCCGGGTCTAGTGCCTTAGGCCCATGCAAAAGGCGTGGGCTATAACACACAAAAATCGGAAAATTTAGTGGAATTTCAGTTTTATAGCCCTAAAATGCCAAAAAATGAGGAACGGTAATGGCGGGGCGGTGAATATTATTCCTTAGGTCATTTTGGATTGTTCGGTAAAATTTTAGGCAATCCAGGTCTGGTGGCCCAGGCCTATGTAGAACGCGTTGGCAATAGCACACGAAAATTTGAGAATCGGGCAAAATTCCAGTTTTATGGCCCTAAAATGCCGAAAAATGAGGCGGGGTATTGTTCCGAGATTATTTTTGATGGTCCGGCAAAATTTTAAGCAATATGTGCCTGGTGGCGGAGCCCATGCAGAAGGCGTGGACAGCACACGAAAATATGGGAATCAGGCAGAATTCAAGTTTTATTGCCCTAAAACGCCAAAAAATGAGAAACGGTCATGGCGAAGCAGTGACTATTGTTCCTTAGGTCGTTTTTTATGGTCCGCCAAAATTTTGTGCGATCCGGGTCCAGTCGCCCGGGCCCATGTAGAAGGCGTGTGCTATAGTCCACCCCATTTGTATGAATACGAGCTACCCAATCCGAATCGCCTGAAATTTTGCGTGGTCCTAAATATGACCTAATGAACATGAGATTTCCTCGTTTTTTGGACTTTTTGGGCCAAAAAACTTAAATTCGGGCCGATTATCAAATTATCGTGTGCTATGTCCACGCCATCTGCAAGAATTCGAGCTACCGCTAAAAATTTTCGAGGCCATAAAAATGACTTAATGAACAAAAGTCATGGCTTTGGCATGACCGTTCCTCATTTTTGGGCATTTTAGGGCCAAAAAACTGGAATTCTAGCTTATTTCTAAATTTTCGTATGTTATAGTCCATGCCACCTGCATGAATCCAGATTGCCAAATCCGAATCGCCTATAAATTTGCAGGGCCATCTAAAATGACCTAATGAATAATAGTCATGGCTTCGGCATAACTGTCCCTCGTTTTTGGCATTTTAGGGCTGAGAAACTAGAATTTGGACTGATTTCTAAATTTTTGTGTGCCACGCCATCTGCATGAATCTGGGCTATCGGATTCGAATCGCCTAAAATTTTGCTAGTATGCTAATGAACAATAGTCATGGCTTTGGCGTGATCATTCCACATTTTTTGGCATTTTAGTTCATAAAAGTAAAATTCAGGCCAATTTTTAAATTTTTCGTGCGCTATAGTCCACTAGGGTTGGGCATATATCGGGTAAACTGATAACCCGAACCGTTAATTATTTATTGGGTTATCGGTATCGGGTTATTGGGTTAACGGTTCGGTAACAGTTTAGAATTTTTTACTATTGGGTTATCGGTTCGGGCCTCGGTTTGCCAATTTTGTTAATGGGTTAACCGATAACCCAATAAGAATTAATAAAATTATGACTTTACCCTTAAGTATATACAAATGCTAGGGCTTCAGTTCATTCTCTCCTATTCTTTCTCAACCCCACTTTTCAGTTGCTTCATCTTCATTCTTCATAGACATTACTAGTTACTCCTAGCGTATGTCTTTAGTATACTATATATGAATTCTTCTCTTTTTTGCTTAACTCCAGTGAATTGTCTTTTCTTTTTTGCTTAACTCTAGATAGAGTTATCTTATCGGGTAAACCGATAACCGATCCGATAATGATCGATAACCGATTAACCGATAAACGATAACCGATAACTGATACCTTATCGGTTCGGTTATCGGTTTATCAAATCTGTAAACCGATAACCGATATGCTAAACCGATAATATTCATAACCGAACCGAACCGATCGATGCCCTCCCCTAAGTCCACGTCATCAAAATTTTGGCTTCCTCATGATCGTTCCTCATTTTTTGGCATTTTAGGACCAAAAAACCGGAATTCAGATTTTTAATTTTCGTATGTTATAGTCCATGCCATCAGTATGAATCCGAGCTACTAGATCCGAATCGCCTAAAATTTTGCGTTGCCATCAACAATGACATATGAACAATACTCATGGCTTCGGCATGACCGTTCTTCTTTTTTTGGCATTTTAGGGCCAAAAAATGAAATTCGGGCCGGTTTCCAAATTATCGTGTGTTAAGTCCACGCCATCAGCATGAATCCGGGCTACCGAATTCTTATCGCCTAAAATTTTGCGAGGCCATCAAAAATGATTTAATGAATAAAAGGCATGGCTTTGGTATGAGCGTTCCTCATTTTTGGGCATTTTAGGGCCAAAAAACTGGAATTCTAGCCGATTTCCAAATTTTCGTGTGTTATACCACGCTACCTGCATGAATCCAGGCTACCGGATCCGAATCGCCTAAAATTTTGAGGGGCCATAAAAAATGACCTAATGAACAATAGTCATGGCTTCTGTATGACCGTTCCTCGTTTTTTGGCATTTTACGGCTAAGAAACTGGAATTCGGGCCGATTTCTAAATTTTCGTGTGCTAGTCCACGCCATTTGTATGAATCCGGGCAACTGGATCTCTCCGCTCTTGTCGTACACTCATCAGCATAAATTGGATTCCCTAGCACATTACTGATCCTGCTTAGGATCTCCATCTCCCAACAATTCAGACGCCAATTTGGGAATCTCTGCACTTCCTCATAGAAGTTAAAATCTGGTTCCCATGCCTTGATTACTATCGGTTTGTTTTTTGTTTGGGGCCAGAATATAATACTTCATCTCTGAATAGATTGAAGGAACACAACATTGGCCTCTTTGGGTCATATTTACTTCGAATAAGAACACATGCAAGATTTGCCCATAGAATGAAGATAGCAGCACGTTTTGCTAGTCCTGAAAAACTTATGAACAATTGAACAACACAGACAAGTTTTGCTAATCCGACACGACCTATGAACAATTTAACAAGATAAGTAGAATGAAGATAGTACTAAGTCTTATCAGTTCGGCAAAACTATGTGAATAATTGAACAACAGGGGCAAGTTTTGCCGACCTATGTCGGCAAAGGTACGTAGTAGTTGGAGTATATACTTAACATTGTTCAATACAATTACAGGAATCAGAGTTTAACACTTCTTCAGTTGAACTATACTTCAATATTTGTTATAGGACCTTTAAACCAATGCCTAGCACTGAAAAACCATGAAGAAAGAAGAAGAATAAGAAGGCCACCAACTGCAACAGGAGTATAATTGAGAGTTTGATCTGTAATAGGGTAAGCAACAGGCAAAGAAAAGAGCACAGAGATGACTGCAACCCACAACACTGCGATCCAACCAACAACGACCCCATAGCGCCCCAAGTTGAACGGTCCTGGAGTGAAAGACTTTCGAGCCAGAGTCACTCTGAATAAGGATGGCAAGGCATACGCGATATATAGCCCGATTGTTGCTATTGATGTCATCGCTTGAAATGCTACCAAGCTTCCAAGAGACTTTAATATGAAACCACCACACCAAAAAAAGTAGCATAGTATTATATTAGCATTTGGAAGGGAGTGAAATAAACAGAACAGACTTAGTAAAACTTTTCTATAACATCCTCGTTTGTTTAGGATATTTTTTGGCTGTTATATCGAAATGCTGTTATAGAGAACATGTATCATAACATAAAATGAAAAATTACTTTCAAAGAAATCTTGTCCGTTAGAGTGAACTGCTGTTATAGAGAAGTTTGACTGTATATGATAATAATCAGGAGTCGTACCGTCAATGCCATGCAAAATGCTATAACCGCAGACATCCAGACTGCATTTATTGGAACCTCCTGGTCGTTTACTTTGCGCCAGAATGGCGAAAATGGCATTGCTCCGTCTCGGGAGAATGCATAAGCCATCCTGCAAACAATATTTTCCTAATTTATGTCTAGTCTCAAGAGAGCTTGCTTGAATGATACAAAGGATATATAATTACCTAGAGTTGCTAGTCAGTGAGCTCATGCCACAGAAGAATATAGCAACAGCAATTACGCCTAAGCAAAGAATTCCACCAACACCACTACCAAATCTGTTCTTGAATGCATCATAAAATATTTGTGCAATCGCATAACCACCCGCGTCGTTGTTTTTACTCAACAGATGAGGTATGTCAGTAACTGCAAATGTTATACCAAGTATATATGCCCATCCAACAAGTAGTGATATGCCAATAGCACATACAATTCCTTTTGGCCCATTTGTATCTGCATCTTTTGTTTCCTCTGTCTGCAAAAAGAAGTGATCAGAGGCAACACAAATGAAAAACCACTTTGAAGAGACAATGACAGAGCGGGGTGTAATTGAGTGACAGATTGATCGGCGACGGGACGAAAAATAAAACTTTACAATAGCTTTTTCGTAGACAACGGAACAAAGAACGAAACTTTACGACAGCTTTTTCATAGATGTTCACTTGCATCATATCATCTTCAACCAACCTTTGAACTCAAATCATGAACATCCCTGTGCACGCACGCACGCCTGTCACCTAGCATATGCGTCACCCCAAGTGGTAGATTGATCGCCAACGGATAAAGAACCAACCTTTACGACAACTTTTTTGTAAGATGTTCACTTGCATCCAGAGGCGGATCCGGGATTTAAATTTTACTGGTTCAAATTCCCAATTTTATCACATCTCATCTAATTTAATGGGTTCAAAATTTATTATTTGCACATATTTAATAATTTTTTGAGCAAAAATACAGGGTATGAGCAAAAGTTATTGGTTCAGTTGAACCCATAACTTCTACACTGCATCCGCCTCTGCTTGCATCACATCATCTTCAACCAATCTCAACCCAAGAAGCCCATGGGATCCGCTCTATAGATACCATCAAATCCCAGTGGATAATATCAACTACTTTGCGTTGCATCTATTATGGTTATCTCATATCTCCCTTTGTCTTTTGTATGATTTTGCTTACTAAAAATTTTCTCAAAATAATACATGATCATTAGGTCTTAAAAGAGATGTTGCAGCATTCAGATGACATGCTATCTTTGATCGACAACAACAACAACAACCCAGTGAAATCCCATATGTGGGATCTGGGGAGGGTCCTTACCCCTACCTTGAGAAAGTAGAGAGGCTGTTTCCGATAGACCTTTCTTTCATCGATAGAGAAGTCAATTTTAGAAAGAAAAAGGACTCACCATATGAGCAGAAGCATCATAACCTAACAATGTATACTGGCTCATGAGAAGTCCAAGAACAAAGATGTAGACTTTATTGCCAATACCACCTTCATTTTCAGTATTGAAGTTAGTGAATACAAATTTAGCGTTGGCTCGTTCAGTTGCAACAGCAGGAATCAGTATCATAAGAACAAAAACACCTGCAATATTCCTCAACTCTATCAATCAGAGCTCATAGAAGGCACAATGTTAGCTGTCATATATAGATAAAGAATAAGTTGGATTTACTATATATGAAATTATAGTAGTACCTAAAACATTCCAAGCAGCAGCAAGTTGTCCAAAGAAGGATAACCAATAGATAGGAAGACTATTCAAAATAGCATGTAAGAGGAGAATTGCAGCATGTAAGGCAATAACAACATATTTAGAGGCCTGATATCCACCTCCATTCACTCCACCTGTGCTAAGGAGTATTATCACTTGAAGGAATTGTGCCAATGAATAATCTACACTTGTTGTGACTGCCCACTGCAATCAACAATAACCATGCTTCAGTCCGAAACAAGTTGGGGTCGGCTATATGAATCCTCACTTTTCCATTGAAACTCAACTCATGTCATCATCAGACAAATAAAATAGTGAAAAATAAGCCACATATATATGAAAAAAAGGACAGCCCGGTGCACTAAGCTCCCGCTATGAGCGGGATCCGGGAAAGGGCCGAACCACAAGGGTCTATTGTATACATCCTTACCCTGCATTTTCGCAAGGGCTGTTTCCACGGCTTGAACTCCTGACCTCTTGGTCACATGGCAACAACTTTATCAGTTACGCCAAGGCTCCCTTTCGGCGGCGAATAGCAGCATGGGCAAAGCACTCTGCTACGGCGAGCAGAGGATATATATATGCGCGTGTGTGTATGTGGGGGGGGGGGGGGGGTTTATAATAATAATAACAATATTAGAAGTTCTCTAACAAGATTAAAACCTATTCCCGACTAGTAGATATCACCGACATGGATTTTTTTTCGTCCATTATGTCCTTTCTTCAAATAAGTCTGCAGAGCGATTATATATTAGAGTTGCTATATTGCTATCTGAATTGACCTGGTTAGACAGTAGACACTACAACTAAAGAAGTGTGAACTGCATGTTAGAGCAATATTTACTGAGTATTTCTTCTTTATACCTGACCAACAATGTTGAACCTGCAAAATGGATTGAAAGAAAGACAGTTTACTGTAGGAAGCAATATGTGTTGGGACAAAACTTAAAGTAGAAAATCATCCATCTTACAGGATTTTCTACCCGGGGGGTCCGGGGAAGGGCCGTACCACAACGATCTATTGTACGCAGCCTTACCCTGCATTTCTGCAAGAGGCTGTTTCCACGGCTCGAACTCGTAACCTCCTGGTTACATGGCAGCAACTTTACCAGTTACGCCAAGACTCCCTCCATATATGACATGATTTACTTAAATTTAGACTAGAAAAGTAATTAATTAGTGAAAATAATTGAGAATTAATTACCAGCCAGTGATCCAAGAAGCAAAAGGAGCCCAAGTTGGACCAGCAAGCATAGCACTCCAATAATAAAGACCACCAGAAGTTGGATAAGATGAACAAATCTCAGCCATTGAAAAACCAACAACCATAGTAAATGAACCAGCAATTAACCATCCATATACATAAGAAATTGGCCCACCAAAACTTAATCCAGTTCCAAACAATGTGTTTAAACCAGTAAGCACTGATATTATAGAAAATGAAAATGCAAAGTTCGATAACACCCTGCAAAAAAATTCCAAAATCAATGTCAGTCGCATATTTATGTGACTATAAATGATCTCATTAAGGATAAAATGAAACATTTTAGGAAAATATGACATTCTTTGTAAATATACTAAAAAGAAAAGTATGACATGTAAACTGAAACGAAGGGATTATTAATATGAAGGCGGGGTTTTACGAAAGATCGCGCTTGAGTTCTTGTTTGTAGCCAAGTTCGTGAAGACGTGCATGGCCTGAATCAATGGCACTCTTATTGCATTCTTCAATATTCATACTTATTTTCCTTCAAATTTTTCTAAGAGAGGGACTACAGGCGAAGCAGCTAGGAAGAAGTGTAACGAACGAGAGTTGTTGAAACGGGCGTATTAGAAGATCAATCGGCCAAAATAACCATGAGCAGATGGGAGCATGGACAAGGAAATTATATGGTGAGGTTTTGTGGTTTTGGTTGTTAGTGATATTTGTATAAAGAGTTGAGTATGGACAAGGCAATTATAGCCACTGAAAACGCAATAAGCGGGCCATTCTTTATTTATTACATTTCACTAAGTGACAACTGACAAGGTGACACTAATCTTTTGTTTTCTCCTTCTTTTTGCCCCCCATTATGTGCAGAATTTTATTTTCCTTTATTATGATTTAAAGAAGTCTTAAAAAGGAATTGAAAACTTTTTAAATTTGTGTTCTTAAACATGATTAATTTTCGTACCGCTATAAGACTTATTAACGGTAAAATAAGAAAATTTAAATTTTAAAATCTAGAAAAGAAACAGTCTTGTTGCAATGAACTAATAAAAAACATTACCCATTTATTGAAATGGAGGGAGTCTAATTGAAGCAATAATCGTCGTCTACTCGTCTTTCTTTATACACGCTCAAGTGTCCTTCGCTAGAAAATTACATAATATTGCTAGATAAAATTTTTTGCTTTATGTATATTTTCTATGTGTTGACGATTTTCTCAATGTATTTAACTTTTTATATTTTAAAACCTCTTAGTGAAAATCTTAGTTCCTCCACTAAGGACAAGTAGTTGATATTTGAAATGGTTTTGCCACAAAAACTAAAGTCAACTAATATAGAAAAGATGAAGATGTTAGGTTAGTATTCTCAAAAAAAGGAAAGAATTTGACAAAGCTATATAACCTTCCAATGTACATATATAACAAAGATATATGGAAGAACACTCTTCCTAGAAAAGGAAATATAACTATTGGCTCTGTTTAGTTGTAGTGCAAAGAAGGTCCAAAGAAATAATAAAATTCCAACAGTCGTAAAAATAAGCCATTTCACAACTTGGCTCCAGTTATCCCCTTTGAATGTCATCACTATGAACTCTGGTAATCGAATACAAGAACAACAAGCTATCTGGGGGAAAAAATTCAATGAGATTAATAATATCTCAAGCTTAAACCGGGACATAAAAATAAACGCCTAAGAGTACTAGAACACTGTCCCTAGTTTCTCAGCTGTATTACCAGCTCTTTTCAGAAGCAAAACAAATATAAAGATGTGGCGGGGCTATTACAGAGACCTGAAAGGGAACTCGAAAAACCAAGGATTATGTAGCAACTAAATCAGGAGTTTCAGCCTCCACAGATAACAAAGCCGTGTGTACTTTATCCACCCAATTGTCTAGCCGATCCCTCAATGACTTGATTTGGGGAATTCCCAAAACTCTTGGTTGCACCCAGGAAACATGAACTGTCCCTTCGACTTGATCAATTATTCCCTCAATGAGATGCACCTACAGGAGGACAACATTAAACCAACCGTGAGAAAGACATGAACTACAAAAGAAGACGACATGCAGCATCAAGACTGCCCAAGTAGAAAGTTCAGGGGACTTGGGAAAAGTACAAAAATTCAGGATGAGTGTTAATTGCTAATTACTAACATGTCTATCGTTTGCATTAGGATTCGCAAAACCCAACATAAAAACTAGAGTTAACTAATATAGAAAGATGAAGAACTTAGGTTACTATTCTCATAAAAGGAAAGAGTTATGACAAATCTATGCAAGATGAAATAGTGATGGGAAGGGAAAGGAAAAGTATGAATACAACACTGAACAATAAACATCCAACAGCATCTTCCCTCCTACTTTTTCAATAAATGGCCTAACCAAGTACATATATAACAAAGATATCTGGAAGAACACTCCTCCTAGAAAAAGAAATGTACAATCTCACATTCTATATGCAAATCCAAAAGATCAAGCATTTTTATCATCTCAGATAAGACTGTATTAGTACTAGGAAAAAGTATCGAAGAACTGCCCAAATGGAGGAACTTGCACTCATTGCTTAAATTAGTTCGGGAGAATAGCAAAAACAAAAAACATAAGGGCAAACGGATATGTTTCTCAACCCATAGAAAAACAGAAGATGCTGATATCAATTAATACAACAAAAGATGCACATTTACTGTGCCGTCATGAATGAAGGAAGTTGGTGAGAATAACAGAGGTTAAATTCTAATTTAACTAAAAAGAACTTACAGAAAGGCTCTTCATGAGTAGATATTCTACATCCTCCACATTTAACTTTGTGCGCTCTGCAATCACACTCAGAGGAATAGTTCTATCGTCTGCTGGGCGACTGCATGCAAATGTATTGTCCAAAGCTTTAGTATCAATCCTAATGGCATAAGTAAATAAAACTCCATTATCTGCGAAACTGACACAGTACCTGAAGATAATTTCCATCAAGCAGAGAATGTTGACCTTCTCGAGAAGCTTTTTCTCATTCTGCACCAATGCTGGTTGAGCACTCAAAGCAGCTTGATGGACATGGCATATTTGTTGGTATCGAACCAAATCACCGGTGTTAAAGGCTTCAAGAATATAATAGAGCCACTCAACCTTAGTCCCTACCAGACTCTGTATCTGTAACAAATTAGAATAAGTCATGATAGATTGAACATACAGAGTCTTTTCAGCACATAAATTTAGTCCATCCCACGCAACTGAAGCCAATATATTGGATAAAAAGGAATTTATTGAGATTTCAGTGAGTTCTCAGATACAGTACCTTAGTAGTTAGTTTATTGTCAGTTTGATTCGGATATCTCTTAATCCTTGTATACATGGTCTCAACCTTCCCCCATACAATATCAAATGCCTTACGAGAAGGGAAATTCCATCCATCCATATAAATTATGCACTAAAACTCAGAAAACTAAGTAGAAAGAGATGGCTATTTGGGACCATTAGAGGAATACGGTGGAGCCAATGAGAAGAACTATATTTCTACAAAAGCAAGAAAAAGTAAGGCCGGCAATGACTAGGGCACAATTTTGCATCCATACGTATTGGGTCAACATTATACTTACTCCAGGACCAACATCGTCACCAATAGGGCCGACTCTTACTTTGTAGAAAGAATCCAATACTTGTTTTTTTGTTTTCGCCCCAGAAGGTTTGAGGGGGTAGGGGGAGAAAAGTTGCAGATACATAGTGGAGGTCCAACTATCTTGTTTAATTGTTCTCAGCAGTGAACAAAAAAGTAGAAGCAGACTCATAAGGAAGGTCCAATAATCATGTTTAGGAGTTTCCAGAAGTGAGTTGAAACCCTTGGAGCGAGAGACAAAAAGACAGAAAAAAACAGAAAAACAGACGATCCTGCTTACTGCGGCTCCCTATTCATACTACAGACGACAACACGATAAGACCTGAAGACATATTCTGACAGCTGGGAAGGACACCAATAGTACATTCCTTGAATGGGCAGTCCACTTAGCCATTTCCACATGAAAGAAGCGTTAGCAGATAATTTCCAGCGACTTGAACATAACTATAGCGCATGGAAAGCACAGAAAAAAAAAGATGGAATCTGTCAAATAAACTTACAATCGGATGAGCAAGTAGTTCTCCAAAGTTGTATATGTTGTCTCCCAGCAATGCTGACAGGGACAAATCGAAAGCCAAATCCTAAACAAAATAGAAGAAACAATAACAGTTTTCAGATGCATTATAATTAAAAGACTGAAATTGCAGAAAGTAGTAAAATCAAATAAACAACGAACAAGTATCTCTACTCAAAGGCTGAAGCAGCTGTTAGAAAAGAACACCTCAACGCTGATACAATAAGCAATTAAACAATAACGCTTTCCTTTTTTCAGCATTTGATTGATTAGCAACTGTCGAAGTACTGAATCAATGCTTAATCACATAGCACTGTGACGTCTCTGACTTAATACGAGGATGTATGGGTCAATCATGAAGAATCTATGCAGAACTTGGGAATGATGAAGAGCATATTAGAGAATTTAGATCCAATAGCAAATCATTATAAAAAAATTAAAACGAAGACCTTCAAAAGATTCACTAAACTGTGCAAAGCTTCCTCTGTTAGGAAAAAAAGAGATCATTCCTTTACCCATCCTTCGAGATGATACTGCAGTCAAGGATGAGAAGACATCACCGTCCATCTCTACTCTTAAATACAGACTAAATACTCGGAGACACAGCAAACTGTGTCCACAATTATAAGCTTTTCTAACAGCTCTTTCCTAGAGAAAATATCACATTTTGGGTGGTGGTGGGGGGGGAG